TCCTAGCTACTCAGGAGGCTGAGAAATGAGGATCACGGTTCAAACCAAGACTAGTCAGAGATTCTTATCTCCAATTAACCATCAAAAAGCTGGAAGTGGAGCTATGGCTCAAGTGGTAGAGTGATAGCCTTGAGCAAAAAAAACTTAGGGACAGTGCCCAAACCCTGACTTCAAGCCCCAGGACTCACACACAGAGACACACAGACACACAAATTCAATTTTTGCAGAAGCTGGGAGGCAGGCCTTCCTTTAACATGTCTATGAATGTGCTCAAGTTTGGGTACTTAAACGTGTATTGGAGATGCCAAGCAATAAGAACTCGGGAAGCATGAGTTCTAATCAGTCTGTTTCCAATCCTTTCAGAGGAATGTGAACTTTCAATTACCCACAAGGTCTGCAGAATCCCCCAGGCTGTCATTTGCAAACCACTGGCTGCAGTGGGGAAGCCTGCACACTTCATCTGTGCAGATTGTGGATGGTTTTGCAGACTCAGCAGTGTGGGGATCCGTAGACAGCTTGAACAGAGTCAGAATCATGTATCAGCCTGCACCAGGAAAAGGATCCTCACTAGATGAAACTTCACACAGGGAGAGTGCAACACTGGCTTGCACCAATTTTACAGCAAACTGTAAAGACTACAGATTCTACAACTTAAAGGCCCACCTAGTCCTTCCCTTTTCATCTTATGATGACTTAAAAAAAATGAAAGAGAAAAAAAATGAGCCTAAGTGCAATGTTTTTCACCCTGTGCTCTATTATCTGTTCTAGAAGCCATGAGAGCCACATTGTTTTGCAGATCAAAGAAACTGGCATTATTTAGTGTCATGCTCATGGCCTGTCCACCTTCCAGTGTAAACACGAGATCTGACTCGCTGTCACCAGCAGCTTTTGAGTGAGTTGCCTGTGAAGCTTTATGTCAAAATCCCATCACAGACAGGACCAAACATCTATAAGTGGGGTTTCATGGCATAGTATCTATGGAGCCCTGGTTGGACCATGCACCCTCTCATCAGAGTAGCAACAATAAAATAGATGTCTTAAATATAATTGTCAAGGGGCTGGGAAGGTGGTTCAGTGGTAGAGTGCTTGCTTTGCATGCATGAGGCCCTGGGTTCGATTCCTCAGCACCACATAAGCAGAAAAAGCCAGAAATGGCGCTGTGGCTCAAGTGGTAGAGCGCTAGCCTTGAGCTGAAGAACTGAGGGACAGCTCCCAGGCCCTGAGTTCAAGCCCCAGGACCAGCAAAAAATAAATAAATAAAATAAATAAATATATTTTATAAGTATAAATAAAAATATACATATATACATATATATATATATATATATATATATATATATATATATATATATAGTCAGCCAGGCACCAGTGGCACAGATCTGTAATCCTAGCTACTCAAGATACTGAGATCTGAGGATCATAGTTCAAAGCCAGACCAGGTAGGAAAGACTTTTACTAATTAACTAATTAATTTACTAATTAACCACCTCTAGAAGTGGAGCTGTGGCTCAAGGGATAGAGAGCCAGTCTATCTCAGTGCTCAGGCCCTGAGTGAAACCTAGTATCAGTACACACACAAAAATACATGTGTCGGTCCTGGGAAGGTGGCTCAGTGGTAGAGTGCTTGCCTCGAATGCATGAGGCCCTGGGTTCAATTCCTCAGTACCACATAGGCAGAACAAACCGTAAGTGGTGATGTGGCTCAAGTGGTAAAGCTCTAGCCTTGAGCTGAAGAGCTGAGGGACAGCGCCCAGGCCCAGAGTTCAGGCCATGACCGACCCAAAAAAAAAAAACAAACAAACATGTGTCCAGTTATCACTCCATGGCTCATCAGATAAGAATGGATGACATCAAGTGGCTAGGCAGTTGGTTAATTGTGAATCAAAAGGAAGCAAAGTAAAATCTAGGTTAAGGGTGCCTCCAAACTCAACCTGAAATAGGGCTTTCCTGGTATGTGAAATACAGATTTCCACTATTCTCAATGCTTCCATCTACCATGGAACATTTCCCAGCCCTAAAAACAGATTATGGGAAAACCTAGTATCAAACAGGACATTTCCCTTGCTCATGAAAATCCTGCCTTTGCATTTCCTGCTGCCTCTGCTAGGAATGCCGTCCACACCGACGTGACTCAGTCTCTCCAGATTCATCTTAAGTGTTACCTTCTTTGGGGAGACTTTCTTGATTTGGTCCTTTCCTCATCCCACTCCAAGCTAACTTAAAGGGTCCGTCTCCTTTAACCCTTCTTCCTCCCCATGCTTCCACTCTCATGAAGCTTCTCACACTCACTGTCTCTGAAATGAGTATTGTTGCAAAGAACAACAAACCCATACTATGTGGAGGGTGTTAGAAAGGCATTATAGAGTTGTGTGTTGGATTTTTGGGGGAGGAGCTCAAAGCAGTGGGGTTTTGCTGTAGATTGGAAACAGAAGGAAGTGTGCACTATTTTATGACTGTCTATTGAAGGGGTCTAGAACATGCCACCCCGAAACTTACCACTTTAGTTTTCTCATAGTGCTGGGGATCAAACCCAGGGCCCGTGCATGCTAGGAAGCGCTGTACCACTAAGACACATTCCCAGCCTATCACTGCATCATTATTATGATTATTTTGAGCTAATGCTTGAGAAACGGCGAATACAGAAAAGGCTGATTCCTTCTTCCCTTCCACCTAAGAGTAGGCCATGAAATTTCCCATGAGAAAAGTGCCCTTGCTACACCACGAAGAGAACATTCTTATCCTCAGAGTCCGTCCTGACATGGACCTGAACAAACTTACTAAAATAACCCTTATCTTCCATTGTTTTCTTCCATAGACTTCCTAATCACTGTCTTACAATTTACGATCAAACCTTTGTCCTGTCACATGCTGTTTGTGTAAAAAAGCATATAGTAAAACATTTTGAGTTCAAGCCCCATGACCAACCCAAAAAAAAAAAAGAACGTAGATTATCTTTTCTTACACTATTTTAAAATTTTACATTACTTTATTTTACTTTTTCATTTTTATGTTTGGGCATTACTAAGATTTGAACATTTGCTAAGGAGGTCCTCTCTCGCTTAAGACAAAGCTCCTGACATTTTAAAATAATTTCTTACCATTTTTAAAATTATTTATTTATTTACTGGTACTGGGGCTTGAACTCAGGGCCCGAGTGCTATCCCTGAGCTTTTCTGCTCAAGGCTGATGCTCTACAAATTGAGCCACTTTCAGCTTTTTGGTGATTAATTGAAGAGAAAAATCTTATTGACTTTCCTGTCTGGACTGGTTTGGAATGGTGACCCTCACAGCTCAACCTCCTCAGCAGCCATGAGACTTTGGCTCCTGGCCACTGTTTTATTATTTTAATCTTTTCAGATAGGGTTTCATAATTTCGCCTCTACCTCCCCTGTACCTGGGATTAAAGATGTTCACCATAGGGCTGGGATGTAGCTCAGAGGCAAAGTACTTGCCTAACAGGAACAATGACCTGGGTTCAATCCCCAGTACCAACAAAGAAAGGACAAAAATTATATATATACTTAAATAAAAATGTTCACCATTAGGATAATCTCTAGCTTGTTCTCTGAGGATTTCCACTAACTTTTTGCAGTCTGACCTCAAACACTCTGCCTTCCAAGTTGCTGAGAAATCAGCTTATTTTTTAAACTAATAAATTTAAACTGACATAAAAATATAAAAATGGTATTTATGGGGTACCATCTGATGTTTTCATATATATACATATTGTGTATTGTTTAAATTGGGTTAAGCATATCTTCTCAAATATCACTTCTGGTGAATGCATTAAAAATTCTTCTAAAATATACAGTACATTATCTACAGGCATCTCTTTTGCAATAAGCACAAAAGAACTCCTATGATAACCTTTTTGTTTGTTTGTTTGTCAGTCATGGGACCTGAACTCTGGGCGTGGGAGCTATCCCTCAGCTCTTCAGCTCAAGGCTAGTGCTCTACCACTTGAGCCACAGCAGCACTGACAGCTTTTTTCTGCTTATGTGGTGCTGAGGAATAGAACCCAGGGCTCCATGCATGCGAAGCAAGCACTCTACCACTGAGCCACCTTCCCAGCCCTATGACATCAGTTTGAGACAGGGCCTGTATAGTCCAGACAGGCCTAAGACCCATGATCCTGCTGCTTCAGCCTCCTGAGTCCGGATGACAGGCAGCCACCACCACAATGGGTTTCTCTAGCAGTGTCTTTAAGAAAACCTATCAGCTGGACACGGGTGGGCTCACAGCTGTAATCCTAGCTACTCAGGAGGATGAGACTTGGAGGACCTCAGTTCAAAGTCCGAGTGGGTAGAAAAGCCTGTAAAAAAAACTCCTATCTCCAATTAACCAGAAGAAAAGGGGGGAGGGGAGGGCAGAACTGGGGGTGTGGCTCAACGCCAGCCATGAGCAAATAAAGCCGAGCAAGCACCAAGGCCCGAGTTCCAGCCCTGATAGCTGCACAAAATTAAAACGCAACGCGCCCCCCAACACACAACAATGCCCATCTGTCTCGTGAGAGGAAGGAGCGAGCAAAGCCAAAGCAGATGCACGTATTTATGTCCACCGAAATGGAGAGATATCCGGCCCTCCTCGGCGTTTGGGCAATCTTGATATCTTCGCCCGTGTTAGGACACGAGCGATCAGGTTTTGTCACGTCAGGCCCGGCAAATAGGCGACAACCTCAGTTCTTCCCCTGGGGTGAAGGAAAAAAAGCACATCTACAGCTCCACACGGCCAGGGAGCAGGCAGCCCCTCCCCCGACGCACGCACGCCTCTCCGCAGGCCCGCCCCGCCCCCTCACGCCCGCCCTTCTCACCAGGAAGGGGCGGGGCCGCCGTGCGGGGGCGGAGCCCCAACGCCGCGCTGAGCGTGTTTGGCGGGAAGTTGGCTTCGCTGCGCGCTGCGTGTGGCAGTGCGAGTTGCCCCCCTTCCCGCCTCCCTGTTCTCTCCGCTGACGCTTGGAATCGGCGTGAGACGTTAGCAACTCCTTCGCACCCGAGTAGGCCATGGCTACCAAGATACGCCCAGAAACCAAGAAAAGCTCGGAGGTCGTGTGCCTCGGGAGCAGAAGTCTCCGGGAACTGGAGCCCGAGGCCAAGAAGCTCCGCGTGAAGGGCCCGGGTACTGCGCGTGTCGGCCGCGTTATCACTGGTTCCCGCCGTTGAGGGGCCCCCCGCCGCGGCCCGGAAATGGGACGGCGGGCCCACTTCCCGGGCGCCCACGCTGCGGGCTGTAGTTGTTGGCCTACAGGGCGGGCCGTTAACACCTGAGTTTAGGCTTAACAACTCCCATCCCAGGTGACCAGGAGAAGCTTGAGGGCTCGGTTTTCACAGCCACGGACTCCACGTACCTAGTTTGTCTCAGGATTATTTTTTTTGGGGGGGGGGAATAGGTATGTACACGGGCCCTGGGCACTTCCCCTGGGCCTTTTCTGCTCTACCACTTGAGCCATAGCTCCATTTCCAGACTTTCCTGCCCAGGCTGGCTTTGAACCAGATCCTCAGATCTCAGTCTGTTGAGTAGCAGGATTTTACAGGCGTGAGCCTCGTGCCCCCCCCCACCCCCCCGCCCCACACTACTGCCTCAGGATTTTTTGTTTGTTTTAAACCCCTGGACTTCCCTCAACTTGGATGCTAAATACCCACCGGCCGATTGTTAGCTATTTGTCCTTGGTGCTTTCAGATATGAGGATTCCAGCTTCTCCCCCTCCGTATTCGCGTGTTCAGTACTTGAACTTGGGGCTGCGAGTTGGGGTGGAGTGGATTGTTTAGTCCATGAGAAGAATTAGTTGCAAAAAAAGATTCTGAAAATTGGTACCACCAGTACATCTTGATGTTCCACACTTTCTTTATTCTTATAAAATTTATTTACTTCTCCAGAAGTAACCTGCTTAGAGCTGAGTCAGGCTGGCTTCTGGAAAAATCCATAGGACTTGGAATGACTGTTGGAAAGTACTTGATTACTTTTAAGCTGGTACTGAGTGTGAATTCGGGTCCTGGGCACTGACCCTTAGTTTTTTTTTTTTTTTTTCTTTTTGCTTATGTGGTGCTGAGGAGTCGAACTCAGGGCCTTAGGCATGCAAGGCAAGCACTCTACCACTGAGCCACCTTCCCAGCCCCTGACCCTTAGTTTTTTCACCCTAGGCTGGCAACTCTACCTTTTGAGCCATAGCTCCAAGTGTAGCTTTTTATTGGGGGGGGGGCAGGGCAGACCTTACCTTCTAGTTTCTAAATATAATTCTCAGATCTCAGCCTCCTGGGTAGCTAGGATTACAGACAGCAGCCACAGACATGAGATCAGCTTTATTTTATTTTATTTTTTTATTTTGAAACAAGGTCTTGCTGTGTGGCCCAGATGATTTTAAAACTCTGGTGGTCCTTCTTGCTCAGCCTCTTAAGTACGGGGATTACACCCAGCCTCCCTACTGCTACTTTAATATAGAATTGAAACATACTTTTTTTTCCTTAAAACAATTATACCATGCTGTCCTAAAATCTTACTATGTATTATCTGTGATTTTAAAATTCCCAACTCCAGTTTTCCATCCCACACTGGAAAGTCTGCAGTATACTTTCTTCTTGTTTATTTCTTTGGCCCAGCTTTCAGGAATACTGCAATATCATACTTTAGGGGAGTGTTTGGGGGAAGGGAAGTCTGTACTCATTATTTCTTTCTTGTGCTGAGTGAGACTAAACAGACTGTGGAAAGGCTTTTAGGAGGTGATGGGACAGACTGACTATGCTGAATGAAACAGCAAGGCTGTCTTTATGTAATTTCAGCTGAAAACCTTTCTGTGATTGGAGAGGAAAATATGTGTCTGTTCTTCTTGGCAGGTTGTAGCAGGAGATGTGAGTCAGACTGCCTTTGGGAAGGTTTGGCTAGCCTGCAAGTCCCACCATCATGCAGCAGCCTGCAGGTCCCACCATCGTGCAGCAGCATTGTCAAGGACCTCTACCAGCATAGGTTGGATGAAGCTGCCTGGCCATCACTACGACAGGTGAGGAAGTTAGTTCCTGATTGAAGTTCAAAGGTTTGTATGGTTTTTCAACTATTTGATGCTCTGAAGCTAGAAGATATTTTGGTTCAAGTTGGCAGAGTGGTTAGATCACTTCAACCTTGTGCCTGGCGTACTGAGCACTCAACCAGGGAGAAAAACTTTTCTGATGGAATGTACTCTACCCCCTTGTGTTCCAAATTAGTTCATGTATATTGTAGATAATTCATGCACAACTCTAGTTAGCTTTCCTTTGATAGAAGGACTTGACCCTAGAGCCTATCTGTGAAGGAGCCTGAGATTGCAGTTATCAAGGATTTGAGTTTTATTTATGAGTTTATTTTGGTGATACTGGGGTTTGAATGCAGGGAAGCTTGCTCTCATTAAGCTCACAGTTGATGTTCTACCACTTGAACCTCACCTGTAACCTTACTCTTTTTTTTCTGGTGCTGGTTCTGGAGCTTGAACTCAGGGCCTGGATGCTTTTGTGCTCAAGGCTAGTGCTCTACCACTTGAGCCATAGCTCCACCTCTAGCTTTGTAGTTATTTATTGGAGATAAGAAGAGTCTCATGGGCTTTTCTGCCCAGGCTTCGAACTACAATCCTCTAGATTATTGGCATTGAGCTCCAGGCTAGGACTTGAGATTTTTAGTGTTTTTTTTTTTTAAATAGAACTTGAGTTTTAAAGCAACTGATTCAACTTAGTTCTTTTTCTGTGTGGCAGGGTCTTCAGAAATCCTTTTTGCATTCTCTTGCTTCTTACCGGATATTCCAAAAAGCTGCCCCCTTTGACAGGAGGGTTACATCCTTGGCATGGCACCCGACTCATCCCAGCACCCTGGCTGTAGGCTCCAAAGGAGGAGATATCATGCTCTGGAACTTTGGCATAAAGGACAAACCCACCTTTATTAAAGGGGTAAGCAGTTCCTGGTGCTGGATGATAGTGCTAAAGAAGTGTTTATTGAGTGAATGAATGGAATATTGACATTATCTAGTAGCAAGTAATGGGGCATTTTTAAACATGCCAAATGAATTACTGAATGCCTGCCCTTGAAATATTAGGAGGTATCAACTAGCTCACTCAGAGTCTAAGCCCCTTCTTACCTCTTTGAGATCTGTTTTTTTTTTCCCCTTCCCCTGTTATTTATAATTGAAACAGGTATCTGGGAAAAACAGTTTAAAGGAGGAAGGATGTATTTTGGTTCTCATTTTCAGTCTGTGCCAGACTAGTTTTATTGTTTCTGGGCCTGTGGTGAGGCAGTATATTAATGGTTGAAACTGTATTGGAGCAGAGTTGCTCAGCTCATGGCAGCCAGGAAGCAGAAAGACAGACAGGAAGGGGCTAGGGGAAGATATGCCCCTCAAAGACATATTCCCTTAGCCGGGCGCCCGTGGCTCTTGCCTGTAATCCTAGCTACTCAGGAGGCTGAGATCTGAAGATCACAGTCCAAGCCAGACCGGGCAGGAAACTCCATGAGACTCATCTCCAATAAACCACTAGAAAACTGGAAGTGGCTTGATTCCCGGCTCCACTTCTAGTTTTTTTGAGGGGTGGTTAATTGGAGATAAAGAGGCTAACGAACTTTTCAGCCAGGGGGCTTGAACTCTGGGCCTGGGCGCTGTCTCTCAGCTCTTCAGCTCAAGGCGAGTGTTCTACCACTTGAACCACAGCGCCACTTCCACCACTTGCAGTTTTTGAGTAGCTTATTGGAGATAAGAGTCTGATGGTGATTTTCCTGCCCGGACTGGCTTTGAACCAAGATCCCCAGATCTCAGCCTCCTGAGGAGCTAGGATTACAGGCGTGAGCCACTGGTGCCCAGCATTAAATGTTCCCTTAAGTTAGAATAAAGCCGGGTGCCTGTGGCTTACAGCTGTAATCTTAGCTACTTAGGCTCTTATCTCCAGTTAATCCCCAGAAAACTGGAAGTGGTGCTGTGGCTCAAAGTGGTAGAGCACTAGCCTTGAGCCATAAGGCGCAGGGACAGCACTTAGACCCTATGTTCAAGTCACATGACTGACCAAAAAAAAAGAAACCAGAAATGTTTACTGCCTCTACTATTCATAAGTATATCCATCCCGTTTCATCATTTCCTATTTCTGTGTTTTCCTGTGTTACATCCCCTCTCCCCAATGTTTATCACTAGGTGAAATATTGGATTTTTTAATGTCTTTGCACATTAGAAAAAAGCTCCATAATTACAGGGATCTTGTCTTTCTGGTTTACCACTGTATCCCTAGAGCCTAGAGCAGTGGCTTATAGTAGCTGCTTTATATTTCTTGAAAAAATGAGGGCTATGAAGTATAGCTGGGAAATTGGATGTGTGCATACTCCAGAATATGAGAAAAGGAAAAATCCCTTATGAATTGAGTTGATGGAGAGGTTTCACAGATGAGTGAGCAATAAGAAAAAGATATATTTAAATGAAGAGAGAAACAGGAAAGATGTATGTTGGTGCAAGGTACGAGATAGGTGTTTAAGAAAACAAATTATGGAGGTCAAGAGGGAAGACAGCCAGAGGAGTGTTGACTACAATACTTGGTGGGCCTCCTGCCCTCTGACAAGGTAGGCAATAAGGTAGGTGGTTTCTAGGAGAGGAGCTTTAAATTTGAGTTAGAATCCAAAGCTCCTCAGGTAAGAAGAGATTTATTTTTTCTAGAAATCTAGGGCATGTGAATAAAAATAAAATTTTGGTTCATTCTTGAAGTGGTAAGAAGTAGTCTATTCTAAGGACAGAGCCTCCTGACCTCCTGGGGCTTGCATTCAGGGCATGGGCACTGTCCCTGAGCCTCTTTGTAGTCGAGGCTAGCATTCTACTTGAGCAACAGTACCACTTCTGGCTTTTTCTAAGTAGTTCATTGGAGATAAGAGTCTTACTGACTTTCCTCCATGGGCTGGCTTTGAACTATGATCCTCAGATCTCAGCCTTCTGAGTAGCTAGGCTCACAGGCCTGACTTTTTTTTTTGGTCTGGTTGTGGGGCCTGAACTCTGGGCCTGGGCGCTGTCCCTCAGCTCTTCAGCTCAAGGCTAGCGCTCTACCACTTAAGCCACAGCGCCACTTCTGGCTTTTTTTCCTTTTTGCTTATGTGGTGCTGAGGAATCGAACCCAGGGCCTCGAGCATGCAAGGCAAGTGCTCTACCACTGAGCCACCTTCCCAGCCCAAGCCACTTCCTTTTTGCTTATGTGGTACTGAGGAATCGAACCCAGGGCCTCATGCATGCAAGGCAAGCGCTCTACCACTGAGCCACCTTCCCAGCCCAGGCCTGACTTTTTAAAAAGAGGAATGACAACTACTTTGAATTTGTGCCAGACTGAGGCTGCTTTTGTTTTACATTGTTTGTGTGTGTGTGTGTGTGTGTTTGTATGTTTGTGTTTTGCTGGGGTTCAAACAAAGATCTGTATGAGGATTAGGAATAGTCTACCACTGAACTATATCTGTAACTTCTTGCATCACCCCCTCCATTTATTTATTTATTTATTTATTTTGGCCAATCCTGTGGCTTGAACTCAGGCCTGGGCACTGTTCATGAGCTTCTTTTTGCTCAAGTCCGGCACTCTACCACTTGAGACACAGCACCACTTCCAGCTTTTTCTGTTTTAGTGTAGTTTCTGTTGTAGTGCTGAGGAATTGAACCCAGGGCCTCATGCATGCTAAGCAAGCACCCTACCACTAAGCCACATTCCCAGCCCTGCATCACCCTTTATTATATTATATACATACAGCTAAAGTTTCCTTACACCATCAGGCTGATTGGTTTGGTCATTTGAACTTTATGATTGCAAGGAGTTAGCATGCAGCAGAGGAAGGTATGCTGGTTTGAGATGAACTTTATTTTATTCCTTGATATTGATAGCAGGAAGCTGATTTAAGATCAGTAACTAGAGGAGCAGTAGTGCCAAGTTTTTTTTACTTTAGTCATCTGACCTTGGCTCTGATCTTGACATTTTTCAAGTCTCTTGATTGGGGAATATGTATAATCAAAATGAAGGTAGCTTTATTGTATTCATGTGCAATTTCTATTCATACAAATGGAGATGATGACAGTATAAGTGAGACATGATGGACACATCTGTCATCCTAATAGGAGACTGAGGCAAAGAAACCTGCAAATTTGAGGCCAGCCTGGGCTACATAGTATAACAACCTGTCTCAAACCAAAAGAGAGAGAGCGAGAAAGAGAATTATAAAGAATAAAGTAAACTGACCCCAAATCTCTATTTTCAGCACTATTACACACACTCATTCTATTGCCAGTGTTATCACATAAATACTCTGCTGTGCTATCTGTTGTGGTTTATTTATGTCAAACATTTTAGTTTAATCATACCATACCAGAAAGACACTATTTAAAAATATTCCATAATTGTTTCTCTCTTTTTTTAATGTCTTTAGTTTGGGTGGTCTAGGTAATGTCAACCTCATAAAGCAATATAGAGAACATTCTCTCTGCTTCTTTTTCCTGGGGGGAAAATAGTGTAGACTCTGTATTGTTTCTTCTATAATATATATAGCAAATCCATTTAGGCCTGGAGTTTTTACTTCTTTTTACCTTTTAACTGAGATGTAATTATATGTAGTAAATTGTACATTTGAAGTATTCAATTTGATGAGTTTGGACAGCTATGAGAATTTATTACCGAAGTTATGCTCAATATTTGAACCTATCTGTCATCCCTAATAGTTCTATAATACCCTTTCTGATCCATTCTTCTCTATTCTTGCTCTTGTGTCTAGGGAGCTACTGACTTGCTTTTTATCCCTATAGATAAATTCACATTTTCTAGAATTTTACATAGATGGTATCATAAGTATATGTTTTTTTTGTCTAGCTTCTTTTCTTTTCTTGTCAGTCATGGGTCCTAAACTCCGGGTCTGGGCGCTGCCTCTCAGCTCTTCAGCTAAAGATAGCATTCTACCACTTGAGCCACAGTGCCACTTCTGGTTTTTTCTGCTTATGTGGTACTGAGGAATCGAACCCAGGGCCTCATGCATGCAAGGCAAGCACTCTACCACTGAGCCACTTCCCAGCCCCTGGTCTAGCTTCTTTCATACAGTATTTTTGAGATTCACCTACATTTGTTTTTATTTCTGAATACTGTCGATTTTTCCATTTATCTGTTCAAAAACATTTGTTTTTTTCTAGATTTTGACAACTATAAATAAAACTGCTATAAGTATTCATGCACAGGTGTTTATGTGCATATCCATTTTTATTTTCCTTGAGAAAATACTTTAGAGTGGAATGATTTGGTTGTAGGTAAGAGAATTTTTTTTTTTGAGGTGGTCTCATTATGGGGCCTCAAATTCATGGTCTTCCTACATTAGCCTCCCTGTTATTGTGATTATACACTGTACTTAGCTTTAGAGAGGAATTTTTTTTTTAACCCAGCAAGTATTCTACTACTTGAACCACACCCTGAATCCTATAGTGAAAATCTTTTTCTTTTTTTTTTTTTTTTTTTTTGGTCGTGGGCCTGAACTCTGGGCCTGGGTGCTGTCCCTGAGCTCTTCAGCTCAAGGCTATTGCTCTACCACTTGAGCCACAGTACCACTTCCAGCTTTTTCTGCTTATGTGGTTCTGAGGAATCGAACCCAGGGCCTCATGCATGCAAGACAAGCACTCTAACACTGAGCCAACTTCCCAGCCCTGTGAAAATCTTTTAAAGGTTTTCATTTTGTACGTATAGGTCTTGTGTGTTAAGCATGCACTCTACCACTGTTATATCCATATCCCCAAAGGTTTTATTAAAGTGAAAAATAATGTTTGTATTTACCTATATATTGCTCTTTTCAGTGCAGTTCATGCTTTTGTGTGATCCAGATTTCCTTTTGGAATCATTTTGCTTTGCAAGAATTCCTTTAACATTTGTTGTAATGTGGGCTGGTTGATGAGGAATTCTATCTACTTTTGCTT